TTTGTGACGTCAGTGCAATCGGTCTATATCACAATGAACAGTTACAACTCGTATATATAAACAATATTTAATTAAAAAAAAAAAAGAAATGGCAATTTTTCCAAAAGCTGTAGGCTTATCTAGGGAAAGCTTGCCAATTCGTATATGGAACTCCATCAGACAGACCTGCGTTTTAAAGTCAGCCTGAACAGGACGATGCCAATAAGCTTTCAGTAGGCCGTAAAACAAATGCTTTAAACATGGCTGGATTTCAAAATCCTCCATACACGCCCACATCAGCTCCAGCATCTTCTTAACTCCTGGATGTATTTCACTTGGGCTAGCTGTGCTTGAACAGGAGTTGAGTAGAAAAGGAATGAGAGCTGCTTCAACCACGTAAGACTTTGTCTGTTTGAAAATAATGCATCAAATATTAACCCCATGATATTAAATAGCTGTATCAGTTGTAAACCATGCAAGTTCTAGTGTTACTACAGGAGGAAATCTAACCTACAGAAACTCGACGTTTCGAGCGAAGGCCCTTCGTCAAGAGTTAGTGTTTCTGCTTATTTTTTAAGGTAGTAATATAACCACTCAGCACAGCATTTTCACATTGGTACTACCCACACTGGTACAGACAGTTTTAACCTACAAACAGTAACTTTGTCCACAGTCTACACTGTGTAGATCTATCAGTTCTAAACTTGTTTCTGTAGTAACTGTGATTCCTTGTTCATCCAAAGTTACTTCAGGAGAAGGCCAGCGTTCCAGGAGAAAACCTAAGACTCTTTTCACAGACGAGCCACAGACGAAAATATAATGAGACAACTGCGTATTGCAGGAATCATATCACCGCACGGTATATCTTCTGTGTTGGTGTAATGTACTCAGGTGAATAACATACACTCGGAGTAACATCACAAGCATCTTATTCGCCTGAGAACATAACACCAACACAGAAGATATCATGATTACTAGATTACATTGATATCGAAGGAACTAGATTCTGTTCCAAAATATCACATACTCAAACCGACCTGACCGTGTAGCTCAGTTGGCAGAGCATTGGGCTAGTATTCCAAAGGTCGTAGGTTCGATTCCCACCGTGGCCAGGCATATTTTTCAAGACTGCCCGGTGTGGATATACACTCAGAGTAACATCACAAGCACCGCACTGTATATTGAAGTTTTTACTCACCAAAAGTGGAGCAAGTTTCTCAAAGACGTGAGAACTTGTGAGTAAGGCCAGTGTTGCAGCTCTTCCACTTAAACTGGATGGCATGCGAGGAATTCGTTCTGGCTGCAATGGAAATATGTATACAGTAACTGGTTAGCACCATGTGTGTTTGATCAAAGGTTGTTTACAGAATACAGTAAGGTCTCTACTTACTCCAGGTAAAAGACGGTCCAGAAATTCCAACAGCTCTTTCGCTTGAGACAATTCCATTTTGGGTGGGTCTTGCAGTGGCTTGAAACCATCGATGGGAAATCTTGGCATGATTAAGGATTTGAACAAAACAAACTTCAATGTTCACAAACTCATGAAACTAACAGTTTTCGCTTAGAATGTCTAGCAAGTGTTTTTAATCTTTTTCAGGCAGACAGACAAAAACTGCACCAGATCTCAATTTCAAGGATACATAAATGGCGTAGCACCAAAATTCAGTTGACATGATTCACAGTAAGATAAACTAACTGCAGGGAAATATGCAACCCCGGCACCACGTGGTACATCTGGATATGCCACGCCCATGTTCACACCATTCCTAGAAAGAGAAAGTGACAATTTCTTACACATTATACCTAATTTGCAAACCTGAAGATCCCACAAATTAAAACACACAAATACGATGGTAATAATTGATTTTTGTTAAATGAAAAACTATTACACTGTACCTGTAATATGAAATTTCACCTTTATCTATGTCAAAAGTACACCCAATCACATCTCCAGCCATCCATTCCTAAAATATAAGAAATATTGCTAACATGCTCTAATCATGCTCAATGTCTCAGAAACTTATTTTTCAAGCTTGCCCGGTGTGGATATACACTCAGAGTAACATCACAAACATCATATTTACATGAGTACATAACACCAACACAGAAAAAAAAATCAGATACTGAGTCACTGAGAGAAGTCCTCAATGTTGTTAAAACCTGTTTCCTAGTGCTCTCACAAAGCATCTTACAACTCACTGTGAGCTGACTTCAACACAACAAACGTCTTCATGCTAGGGACTAGAAAACAGGTTTATCTCTCTCTTACTTCTCCATAAGCAGAGGCACTCAAATTCCACTTTCTAACCCGGTGACCATCATAGGCATAAGAATCAGCTGTGTCACCAACACCCTCCTATAACCAAGAATGGTTCAAATGTACCGTAAACCTGAGCTTATAGTTATTCGTAAGCGATTTTCGATGGACTTATACAAGGGGGAGCGCTTATATATGGGGGGCTTATACATGGACAATCTTTTGTGTTAGTGTAATAGTGATAAACAAGTGTTAAGCATAGTAATAATAGTGATTAATAGTGGTAATAGTGATAAACAATAGTGATAAACAAGTGGGCTTCTTTTCAAGTGGGCTTATATTCAGGGGGGGGCTTATATTTGGAATGAGTTGAGCGTACATGTAGTGGGCTTATACACGGGGGGGTTTATATTTGGGGGGGGCTTATATTCGGAGGTTTACGGTATCATTATTATTATGCTGTCCATCTGTCCTAAACTCCTAATATTCAATGACCTAAAAATACAATACCTCATTAGTAAACTGACAGCTCACAGTTGCCCAACCAAGTTGCATTATTCCTCGTGTTCCAAGCAGAACTTCAAACATCCATCTGCCTGGTGTGTATGAACAAATATTATTTTACCATTAATGCGCATTTCCAACAACAATTAAACAGTTTACTTGACAAACCGTCATAATAATAGACAGATTTAGATCGAGGATGCGGATATCAAAGACGACATGAAAATGGCGTCAAATGCCGTGGCATATCCATACATGGGCACAACATGCCATTTTCACATCGTCTTTGACGTTCGCGTCCTCGATCTAAATCTGTCTAATAAACTGAGTAGACTCGATGCATGCCCGAGCTCCACACGCGAGGGTAAAAATTTCAACACACATTTTTCGGCTACCTATGGACAAACAAGCTTAACCCATTAAGCGCCAGCCCCCTCCCATTGATGCAAGTAAAATCATCTGGTGTTAGACAAAGTAAAATAAAGTAAGGTGCATTTGGGGTGCAATGCAACTTAATGGGTAACACTAAGGCCAAATAAAAAAAAATACTTGGTTAGCGTCACACTCTCACAAATTTTCAGAGGCGGGCGGGCGGATTTTTTTAAAAATTTTTACTCGTTTTTTAATTTTTTAATAGTATTTTTGGAGGGGATGGGGGCGGTTTTTCCACCAGATCGGTGATATTTTTTGTACTGATGTTGCGAAGGCCGCCATTTTGCTTTAAGAACCTTGTATACCCAAGCCTACGTGCTCCTATCGATCAGTATATAGCACGAAGGTCTGAGCATGAGAAAAATTTCAAATATTAAACTGTTTTAAATTAAGCTGTAAAACTAAGAGATTTACATAAAAAAAAATTTTAAAAAATTCAGAGGCGGCAGAAAATCGAGAGGCGGGCGGTGACGCTAACCAAGTATTTTTTTTTATTTGGCCTAAACATAATTCTGCTTAATTGTATACCTCTACAGATGCAGACGTTTGCTCGCAAGCTGCTAAAATTGCTCTGACTGTCAAGCTACAAAAGATGAAGGAATATTTTATGAACTATCAACAACAAAAGTGATTTTGGCTGGGTTGAGGATGGCTGGAGTGAGGGAAGCACAATGTGGGGTGTAGCAATGTGGGGTGTAGCAATGTGGGGTGTAGCAATGTGGGATGTAGCAATGTGGGGTGTAGCAATGTGGGGTGTAGCAATGTAGGGTAAATAGGGTGGGATACAGGATGTGAAAATAAAAGGGTGTGAAGGATGTGATGGTCATGGTGAATCAAGTGGATGGATACAGGGGTGGGTGGTAAAGTGAGAAGAATGTAAGTGGTTGCTGGGTTTAAAGAGGGTATGAGCTAGGTGAAGTTGCAGAGTGCAAAGAATGGAGGTAGGTGCAGAGCAGTGGGGGGGGGGGGGGTTCAGGGGTGTTGGGTACAACACAGTGTGAAGTTGTAAAGTTGGGGATTATGCATTATACCCTTATAGAGACTGGGGTGTGGGGGTACAGGGGACTGGGCACAAGAGGAGGGTACAGGAGCAATCTCGTTCCCCGAGCCTGCGATCCTCAGGAAGGAACGTGAGGCTCTGGGATAATCCGTTGCCGGAAGCCAGGAATCCTGGCTAAGATTGAACTGTGCATCCATTTCATCGGCCAATCAGATTACTCCCTGAAACTCCCAGAGCCTCGCGTTCCTTCCCGAGGATCGCAGGCTTGGGGAACGAGATTGGGTACAGGAGATGTTTGTACAAGGGGAAGGTGCAGACAGTAGGGTGAAGTTACTAAGTAGATGGAATGGAGATGGGTGCTGGAAGTTTAACATATTTATAAAAACTCATTATTATTGTACACCTATGTTACCTCTAAATTTGCAGATATATCCATATTTCCACAGCGACCACTTGTATCAATTTTGACAATATCTGGACCAATTCTTCCATCTAATAAAGCTTTCCCTTGTTCTGTATAGTCTGAAAATAATTTAGGGACAATTTTATACCCATTATATAACAAAAGACATGGCCAGATAAACAATCTTGAACTAAGAGGAAAGTCCCTAGGTACGGGGTTGACAATTAAGGACAGCAGATTAATAGGGCACATTACTTTAAAAATACATGGCTTCAAAATAAGTCAAACATAAAGTATTTCCTGAAACTTTGGTGACATACTTTTTTTAGATAATTCATTGTTGTGTTCTGAAAGGATTTTATCCAAGTGCTCTTGAAGGTTGCCAAATTCAAGCAAGTTTCTACGGAATGGAAAAACAGCTATGTCAAAGCATTTTAAAAGCTTCTGAGAGTAATTCATAAACACTACTATGCCTACGAATATAAAGCACCACAATATATTTCAATATACGTTTTAAAAACAAAATACATCAACATATTTTAACAATCATAGCAATGTATACCTTGGTGTTGCCCTGGACTCACAGCTTTCAGAACAGAAAACAGATGCCAAAAAATTGTTAACTTCCATGGACGTAAGATAGCCTATCTATTCTCGATTCAAAAATTATTTGAAACAGTTTTACAATGCAGTAAAATGGTTGTTTTGTATATTTTATAACTGATGTTTATGTTTTGATTTTCAGACATTGGCCGCGCTTGTTTGTTTTAAAAGTACTGGGTACGACAAATGGCATAACACACAGCTGACCCAAGAAAGTGTATAACAGGGTTGTTTCAGTGTTTGTGACAAGTTGTCAACGAGTTGTGACTTGTTGTGACTAACTAGTCGACAATCTGGAAACAAGAACATAAGGGGCCATTCACAAAGGATGTCCGAGCCGAGTGGGGGGAGGGGGGTTTGGAAAATCAGGACAAACTCGGACATAGGGGGGGAGGGGAGTTTTTTAGCAATCCGGATGTCCGAAATTTAAAAAAATTCAAAAACAAATTTCTTTTTTCCCTCTATTTTGAGCAGTCCTTCCCATTGTGAAATTGGCATTTTGACTATGCGGTTAACACTAGATTTTGTTTTAATTAGTAATTTATATGTTTTTGTGTTCACATTTACAGTTATAAAAAAGTTCTAAAAGTAAAAAGTTTTTTACTCTTGATATATACAAGGTTGCGTGAGTTTTTGCGAGGCATGGCGGATGTCCGGGGGGAGGGGGGGTCACTAATTCGGACAATGCCGGACAAGGGGGGAGGGGAGGGAGGGGGTCTGAAAATCCATCATTTGGCCGGACATCCTTTGTGAATGGCCCCTTAA